CTAAACATAACGTCCCAGTGGCTTTTAAACCACAAAATACATTACGGCAAAGACTGGTTCATCCCAAAGATCCAGTCCCCCGGCACAAACAGAGCAATGTTGTGTATGTTGTTCAGTGTCAGGAGGGCTGTGATCAGTCTTACATCGGGGAAACTAAACAGCCACTGGCCAAAAGGATGGCCCAGCACAGAAGATCAACATCATCAGGCCAGGACTCTGCGGTCTACACTCATCTCCAGGCCAGCGGTCACTCTTTCAGGGATGAAGATGTTCACATCCTGGACAGAGAGGAACAATGGTTTGAGAGAGGAGTAAAGGAGGCCATCTTTGTGAAAAGAAACCGTCCATCATTAAACAGGGGTGGAGGCCTACGTGTTCAATTGTCCCCCTCTTACAATGCTGTGATTGCTAGTATCACTCAGCCCTCTGTGAATAGTAAACAGCCATCAGGTGCTAATGATCCATTGTTAGGCTGCACCTCCTGACCCCAGGTAAGAGCAAACGCTTAGGTTTCTGTTTATAACTTCAGCTAGGGACACGCTAGGAAGACGAGCCGGACGCCGTCGGAAAGGTCTCGCCGAGACGGATCAGAAACTATCTGTGTATCCGCTTCCCACGCGCCTTGAGTGTTTTCTTATTTAAAAATAGCAAACTGTCATCGTCGGCCGAGCCTCTGCACTTCCTGGTTCTCCGGAGCGCCCCGACTTGTAATCTGTGCTCGAAATTCCCATAGCTCCCAATTAAACGTTTGGCGTTTCTCACAGCGAGCGTTTGCTCCGAGAGACGTGACATTTGACGTTTCTCAGCGCAAATTTGACGTTTCTCTGCGCAACTTGTCAAGTGTTTGCCATTTTTGCCTGATTAAAAAAGTTAGTGTCGCCGTAGGGGAGTTAGGGTTAGGGTTAGGGTAGTGGAGATCCTCACGTCAGAGACCACGCTGCAAGAGACAGCAGGGTCCCTGAATGCACGGGCACACCCACGATGAGTCCCACCCAAGCACTACCTCTCATTTAAACCACCGGGGAAGATGGTGCTGAGTCTGATAATCCATGTTTTTTCAGCCCTCCTCCTTTGGGCTGTGGACCAGGTCTGGTTGGACTCCAGCACTGTTGCTGTGACCGCCTGCCAGCCATGCTCGACAAAGTGCCGGACCAGGGGTGTGAGTAGGTTTTTCTTATTATTGATATTATACCTATGTTGGACAAAACGGGTCAGAATCGTGTTTCCAGTTTCACCCACATAATTGATCTTACAGATTTTACATGTTATTAAGTAGATGCAGTTTTTAGACCTGGGGTTTCCTGATTGATCCAATTGGAAAACGGTCTTGTCAGATTTGCTCTGTATCCAGTGTAGTTGTTTGAAAAATTCACTTTTGCTCTTGGTTTTAGTCGCATTAATGGGTTTTAATTCTGCATGGACCAGGAGGTCTCTCAAATTCTTGTTTCTTTTGTAGGCCGCAATTATTCTGTGGTTTGGAAGAAGGGAAGTGTCGGATTGTAATTTATTGAAATTCTGTTTTACCTTGCAGATGAATATGTTAGCTGAGGAGGAGTATGTCGTGATCAGAGGGAGCATTGGGGATGGATCTCGTGGCCTAGGCTGCAGGAAGGATCTCCTGCACGACCTGAGAAAAGACCTTGAATAGCCCCGTTTACCAAGGACCTTGAAAAGGATTCCCACTGCCTCCTCAAAATCTGCGTGTTGGGTGCATATTCTGTGGAATCTAAGGAGCTGTGATTTGATTAGACCGGCGTAGGTGTGTTTGGGGTGGAAACTGGTTTTATAAAGTAGTGCGTGTGTGTCTGTGGGTTTGAAGTAAACTTTGATGTCCAATTTGTGTGTGGTGTTGAATTTGTCACTTTTCTAGGTTGTGGTGTCCAGAAAGTCCACCGCTTTAACGCTGGTGGTAGACTTTAGTTTAATAGAAGGGTTGTAGTTGTTTAGTTCTGTTAAAAATTCATCAAAGTCAGGGTTAGGGTTAGGTTTGTGTGACTGAATCCTCCCCTCATGAGGGAAGGTGGGTGCACGGTCCATCCTCCGTCTCGAAGGCCCATTATTTTGTCGAGAAGTCTGTGGGTGACGTTTTTGACGTCTCCCATAATAGACTGTGGTCCAGTCTGTATCATGGTGCAAATCCCCCATAAAATAGGAGTCAGGAGATTGAAGTATTTACTAAAAATTCACTATAAAAATTCTTATTTTAAAAAAACAATAAATCATTTTTCAAAAAAAGTTTTTCTAAAAAA